TGGATGAAATATATATCATTTGTATTGCTTATAAATGTTACTCTGCTACTTGGTTGATAAGTATGGAATAACACACGGTGGGCTGTGCTGTTATAGAAAAGTAATCCAAGCCAATGTGGTGTGATAACAGCCTGACATGAAAGGGAGTGGATTATTTTCCTACAACAGCATGGTTTGAAGTGTGTTATTCCTCTTATACCGCAGCGATTTGTCAATAATTACAATTCTTTAATTTTTATTTATTTATTTTTTTTAATGAATGGCACTACTTGCTTTTTAATGGTTTATAGTTATTTTTAATGTTGTGGAACATCCATGGAAGAAGTTAGATTGTTACAGCTATAAACAATCTTTCCCTCAAAACCCTGCAGAAACCAGGAAGTGCAAAGCTCTTTGTCATGAAGACTCTACCACGGTGGAAAACTTGCTCACTGTTACAAAACACAGACACCCGAGTCTCCTTCCATAAATATTACAGAAATATTACATTACATGTCCTAACCATAGCAATGATTATGTGTTTTTTTAAAATAATTTTTTGCCATTAATTTGCCCTGTGAATGAGATGTTACTATAGAAATTTTACTATGGAAAGAATCATTTATGTTACTACCAAAACTATTGTCAGAGCCGTGGGTGCTGTTTCACCTTCACCTGAATCACCTTTTGATCCAGGAATTCAACAGCACCGTGGTATAAAATAGTCTACCGCTGCTAATGGGAAACGGAGTTTAACACACATTACATGTCAGAGGGCTTTGGGAAGCAGCCTTTACTAAGAGCCTTTACTCTTTTTCAGAAGTGCAGTGGTGTTAATTTGTTAATTCAAAAGCAGAATTCCTGAAACACAGAGCACCAGTTACGACCGGACCCTATATATTGTCTTCCATTTTGCACCATGTTCTGCGAGGCACAATGTCTACTCCCCCCGTATACATGTCTATAAAAGAGTGACAATAAAAATACACATGATATGTGTGTAATAGATAGATCTCTGATTTCAGTCACTGACATCTGCTGTACACCATACACTCACACTACGGCCATTATTCTTTATTTATTTGGTCGGTGTTGAAAATGCAGTGGAGGACAGCCAGCCCAAACACTGGAGACGGTGCGCATATGCGTGAAGAAGGACAACAAGGTAAGTGTTAACAGCCGTCTCTCTGATGGTGCACACACTGCCAGCTGGCTTTGATAATCTGCCTTTTTCCTTTTCTCCCATTCTCCCACAGTGATTTTCTCAGTAAGACTGGGGGCCATTTATAGCCCTGTATGAGGATCACAGATAACTCTAGCTGCAAAATAAGCTGCACTTTATAAAAAAAAAAAAAGGATCTTTTGAACATGACACCTATGTAACTATTAGGACTTTGGGTAACCGAGAGCAGAGGAGGTCAAAGCTGGAAGAGTAAGAACCTAATGCCAAGATGGCAATCTCAAACCTGATCTAAAAGATTCCCTGGAGCTGCTTGCAGATGTTTAACTTGTTGACCGTTACTGTATGGGAGTTTCAAGGCAACAAAAAAACAGGAATGTTAACCGCCATACGCAGTGCCAATATTTTCATTTATGTAAGAAATAAACATGACTGGGCAGGCTGTTATAAGAAAATAATCATATACCACGGCAATTTACCAGTGATTACAATTATTAATCAAAGAGTGACACATTTTATCCATTTATAGTTACATTTAATGTTGTGGAACATCCATGAAACAAGCTAATTCCTGTTACCACTTACATTATAATAGCTATAAGCACTTGTCCTCTCTTGTTTCTCTCTCTTGAAGTTAATAAGCCAAAAAATTAGAGGTGTAACAATCAGACGATTTGGATCGATGAATCAATACAAAAGGCAATGACTGAAATGAATCGAAGCAACAATCATAAATTGGTTATTATCGAATATAATTGATTATAATCTGATTATTATGTTAAGTCCTTGGGCAAGCTTTACAGATATATATAAATTTAAGATATAAATTTAAAATTTATAAATTTAACCCTAATGAACAAGCCAGAGGTGACAGTGGCAAGGAAAAACTCCCTGAGACAATATGAGGAAGAACCCTTGAGAGGAACCAGACTCAAAAGAGACCCCATCCTCATCTGGGTGATACCATATTAACAATTATAGGTTTTTAATCCATTTATGTGGTGCACCAGCCATATAAGTCTTTGGGCAAGTTGAGAGGTATTGTATATGTATAGTAAGTTTCGTTAAGTATCATTACTAGGGAAGTGGTAACGTACTAGAATGAGTATATTAATATAAACCTGTGATTTGCCTTGCAGCTGAACTACTGTCAGAGTTGCTGTTGTAGAAAATTAATCAACACCTTCTGACTAAGCAGAATTGAGAATTTAGCTGCACTGTGGTCTACTAATTTACATACATTTCTTCAGTTTCTCTTTGTTTCTTGGTATGCTGCGATATTTCCATTTCCAAAAATGGTCATACTCCAAAATTGTCTAATGTTAGGCTTATTTTCTGCTGACAGGTAATGGTTTAATATAAATATATAGGTTTAAGTTTAAACATATTGCCTAAATGGTAGTACTAAACATCATATTGTAAACACACACTCTTGGAGTGTGAATCCTAAAAGGTTCTTCTGTTTGTTCCTCAAGGGGAACCTTTAAAGGTTCTACATACCCTAAAAGTTGTATCCCTTTCAGTGAAAGGCTTCCAAATAAAAATCATTCTAGGAAGCAAAGAACCTTCAAGGAACCCCCCCTTTTTTTTAAAGTGTGTCATAGCTATTCATTCTGATGTGTAAGCATCAGAGCTTTGAATTTTGGTTCTGACTGATGAAGAGACTTGTTTTGGGGCTGAAGTTCCTGGTTACACTATAGTCAACCTGAGCCTGTGGCTCAGTGGTTAATGTATTTGCCCACTGATTGGAAGATTGTGAGTTCAAATCCCAGTACCTTGCCCCTTAAACTTTGGGTGTATTCTGTTGCTTTGGATAAGTGTGTTACCCAAAGGAGCAAATTTAAATGTAATGAAAAGGGACTTGGAACTGTGGAACAAAATCCAAGCACTAAGATTTGTGAAATGAGTGCTATTGGTGATGATAGTCTTTCAAAACCAAACCCAGAGGATGATGAATGCTCTTTCAACCTTGTCAAATAAGGTTTCATTACCAGTCACTCTAAAGAGTGACCATATGACCTAATGAAAAATGGAAAACATCTCAGCTGGTCTCTATGGAGCGAGTGGAGAAGGCTTGTGTGCTTTAATGGCCCCTCAATTGCAGATGTGACACCTTATCTCCAAAGATGACAAAGAGAGACATAAGACGGGCTGGACAGAAGTGTCAAGAGTAATTGATGGGATCAGATAACAAGCAAGCTATGAGCTAAGATCTTTTGAATGCTTTGTCACACCACCATCGTCAAAGGAAAATGGATAAGACAAATGAAGATGTCAGATACTGTATCTAAGAGTTGTCATTGCAGGCCAGCTGGTGTGTTTACGTCTCAGCAAGGTCACTGAGAAGCAGAGAGGTATGTTCTGTCATCTCCATCAACAGCTCAAGGTTGCTTCTGAAGACAGGACAGATTGCATACACTTGAAACTGTCAGTGTATATATGTGTATATCTGTGTCTATATGGTGATTGGTTTTTCATCCAACAGGGTCTACATACACTAACCAGAATTAATTGGATTTATTGAAAGATGTTATTTACAGTATAACAGAGACAAAGTTATTTGTTAACGGTTAGCTGTTGACTGTCTATGAAACAGTATGAAATTGAATTATCCGAATATACTCCTCAGACGTTTTTTCCTGCTAGTATGATGCATAATATTTCATTTAAACATTAACAAATATACACTTTAAATACTGTTGATGTTTTATTACCAGAGACTAACTTAATTTTTTACTTGTATTTACTGATTTCAATCAATAAGAACAAACTAATTTAATTTACAATTTAATTTACAGCCTTAATATTTATTCCTAAATGGAAGTATTGAAGATTTGGTCAAACACTTGTTTAATATTTTTTTCTTATATAATTTCCATTCTGTACATTTTTTGCCTTGATTGTGGCACAAATAGTGGTTAAACTATAAAAACTGAATGGGCATGCAAATACATTTGCCTGGAATTGTCTACTCTTGGGTACAGTGGGTTTTCTCCTGACAGCTCCAGGGCTCCTGGTTAAATCCTGAACTCAGGTTACTGTCATGTTCTCCCTGGGTTTCCTTCAGGTTCTCCAGTTTCCTCCCACCTTCCAAAAATATGGCAGGTAGACTGGATACTCTAAATTGCTACTAGGTGTGTAGGAGGGTGTGAATGTTTGTGTGCATGTACCCTGTGATGGACTGGTGTCTCATCAAGGGTGTATTCTGGCCTCACGCCCAGTGTTCCTGGGATAGGTTCCGGATCCACAGTAACCCTGCAGAATAAAACTCTTATTGAAAATGGAAAGCATGAATATTCTTGAAGAATGCCATAATTATTTAATAAATGTAATTGGCTAAAAGTGTATTAATTTTTGATAAATAATAAAACAGTTCTTGGTAGTTCCCTGAGCCAGTTTTATTATTATTAATCAGAATAATATATGCATATTTATATATTAAGTTAATCCAACATCTTCAGTTTTCGGAAACGGGTCAGTTAAGCGTGAAAGGCTTTCCATTGAAAAGACTTCCTTAATGTGTTCCCAGAACCGTGGCTATTAATCATACTTCTACAAGGGTGGACACGGTGATAAAAGTGATATAAACCATCAGTAATGACAACGATAACCACTTACAATAATTACACAAAGCCTAGATCATCCATCACATCACATATCACTTCAACAATTCAATAATAAATTGAGCAGAGATGGGATGTTGTGATTATGTCAGTTCAGAAGAGAGTTATCACACTCTAAACATTTTTATTTCCAGGTTTGTAGTGTGTTTATGGTCATTTATGTTTTGTACTAAAGATATTTTATTATATAAATGTAGATAATAAATGACAAAATGGGTGTCACAGTGGTGCAGTGGGTAGCATTGGAGCCTCACAGCTCCAGAATCCCCAGTTCAATCCTGAGCTCAGTTTACTGTCTGTATGGAGTTTCACGTGTTCTCCAGGAGTCTGTGTGGTTTCCTATTGGTTTTCTGTTTTCCTTCCAACTCCCAAAAACATGCATATTGGTAGACTGGCTACTCTGCATTGCCTCTAGGTGTGAATGTGTGTATAGTGGGACGGACTGGCGTCCCATTGAGGGTGTATTCCCAGCTCATGCACAGCGTTCCCAGGATAGTTACCAGATCCACTGCAACTCTGACCAAGATAAAGCACTTATTGAAGATAAACAAATGAATGAAATGACAAAGCACCAAAGCCAATATTTATAAAAACTGATGTGAATTCATTAAATAAAGGAATTTTTTAGCTTCTGAACTCTACCCCTACAGTTCAGCAAGCATTTTTACCTGATTAACTGCTTTGTAAAACCATTTTAAAATCATCCTGACAGTCAGTTGTATGATGCCCCAGTAGATGAATGATGGCCCAATGCTGGCCCATGCTTCCTATTTTCATCTGGCCCACATACTGCCTCGGAATGATGGCTATGAACTCATCCGGATCTGGCTGCCAGAACACAGCCACAACTCAGCCTTGATGAGACCATATTTCAGGCATGATATGGAGCAGAACTTACACTTGGGCCATTTTTGGCCCAAAATTGAAATGCAGCACAGGCATTAGATATGGTTGGTTACATTTGAGCCATTTTTGGCTCTGATTCCAAATACCGCAAAAACCTTAAATGTGGCTGTTTAAAGTTAGGCCACTTTTGGCCCATGATACACTTGCCGCTGCTATAACTGACCCTTGTGTGCATAAACTTAGCCATATTTGGTCCTAAATAATCTGCTATGCCCTAAATACATAACATTCCTGCATGATCATTTTCCCTACATATTATTTCTAACAATGCCTGACCAAATAAAAAGGAACTTAAAAAAATAAATAAATGATTTTAACTTGAATGAAATCTTCATTAAAGTAGGGCACAAAAAAGTAAAATGTATTACTCATAGGAGGTAATTAAATAATTCTGCCTTTCCTCCTCGGCCCCTTGTTATGTGATTGTGCGAGCATCCTTTTGAACAGTTCCTGAAATTATCATTAAACCAGCAAGACTCTGCTGTTTTTGTTTCTTTTTATAATTTAACTTTTGATTTCCCCTCTCCTGCTGGAGTCTCTGTCTGTCTCCGGAGAAGCTTGGCTGCTCTACTTACCAGGAACTCTCTTTCTTAGAGAGAATCCCTGCGTAGATGGTTATTATGCAGACAGTGAAAGAAGCAGCGAGGGACACGTTTCAGCATGCTGCTCTTGGCTTCTCTTGGTCCCTACTGGGAGGGAGGACTCTTGATTTGAGGAAACAAGGCAATGACAAAAAGTTGGCATTGTCTCATTCAGTTTTCGACATCACTATAACGGCGGATGTTACTGTGGAGGAAGGGAAGGTTCAAAAAGGGTGGATAGGTTTCAAAAAGGGTGGAAAGGGTAGAAAGGGGCATTGTCTCATGTCATCATGTCTGCCATATCTGATGATTATTAGGGTTAGGTGAACTTGGTTCACCTACCACACAAGCAGTGACTGCTGGTCATGATATTGAATGGGAGGACTGAAAAATTATTATTTTTGAAAACACTATGGTCGAGCCTTATAGCATCATAGGCATAAAACTATTATGCACAGGTACACATTCATAGAAAAACAGATTCCTGAATCCAATTTCAATCATGCCGTGCCTCTTCTGAATAGCAAGCATGGCAAATAGAAATGCATTATGATTATGTGTGCTATAGCCACATTTGTCATTTGTTCCTTTGTGTAATTTGAACTTTGGTTGGACAATGTCTGCCTGGTCAATTTACCTCCAGTTTCTCCTCCATGTTGAAAAATCAGTGTTTGAGAAAGTAATCCACCTCGTTCATTATGATTATATGTGCTATGGTGTATCACATGTGCCACCTCAATCAATGCTCATGACATTTTGTGGATGTACCAGTGAAATGGTCTTAAAGAAATTGTCCACAGTGCACACAAATTCAAGGCTGAATTTTACAAAGTGTAATCACTTGACATGACTGTCACTGATAGATAGGACGCATTAATCTACAGTTTGGGCTAGAAAGAATTCAGCCCAAACTTCTACTTCATACCATTCTGTGTATTTTAACTTATAGCAGTTGGTAGTGCAGTAGCTCTTGGTTTCCAGAGAAAAGCCATTTGTTTATAACAGATAAGAACATGTGGGTGCCAAAACTTCCTTTGAAAGAAATGGATATCTCAGTTTTGCCAATTTTAAAACTTTTTCACTAGATTTGGTGACTTTTTAGACTTCTTCAGTGATTTTATTAAAAAAAAAAAAAAGCACAACAAATCAAACACATTTCTAAGCACATGTTGGTGACTGTTATGTACTGAAAAATTAAAATGAAGTGTTTTGTAAATGTGCACATAGATTTTGGTGCCATTACCAAAATTTTCTTCTTTCTCTAATGAATAAGTTATAATGTAGTATTTTCTGTTCTGTTTTGTTCTATTCTGTGTTCAGAAAATCTTCTCTCTTCATGTAACATGTTTTGATATGCACATAATGATGATGATTCAATTAATATGCAAATGAGTCAATGACCTCAGTGGTCAATTACCTCTAGCGACTTTTTGAGCATGCATTAGCTACATTCCCCAAAAGAGTTGGCAATATTGGCTGAGCATACCCCTACTAGCCAATGTATCCTATCTGGCTCTGCATGTGAGTTAGCAAAATGGTACAAGTCCTAATGGGCCCTAACCCTAACTATATGCTTTGATTGTATTTCAAATGGAAGTTACTTTGGATAAAGTGTCTACCAAATGGACAGATAAAAATAAAATGCCAGACATCAGAAGATCAAAGCTACCAGACTTACAATTCAAGTGGCAGTGGTTCTCAAATCAATCCTCCTATCCCTACAGATGACAATCTCTATTTCAGCTCTTTCTCAGTGCTGGGTGGATCGGGATAGAGCAAAATGTGGGCTGTCCATCTGGAGGCCCCTGAGGATTGGTTTGAGCACTACTAGTTTAGAGTGAATGAGTTGTGAATGGAGAACAATCTTCAAGACTATAACACAAGTCCAGTTGTTTTGACTTACTAAGGCCAGACATTGAAATGGACATGGACGACTGAAGAGCTTCATCCGTCCTGACAAGGAGCTAACAGCAGCCTTTTCTCTGTCTCATTGATCATGGCACATGCTTGCCTTAAGTGCTCTGGCTATGACAGAAAGAAACAATGGCAGTCTCATGAAAGTCAATATTTTAATAAACACCAGCTGCATGCAGTCGCTCCTGTCTGCAGCTTTATGCAATGAGCGTCCTGACAGGCCACTTGCTGAACCACTTGGAAGGAAAATAGAGAATGAAATCAATGAGTGGAGGAGGTGAAATTGAGGCAGTACTCCATCTATGGAGGCAAAAGGCAACTATATAATGACTTTATATAAAACAGATTTGGACAAGCTGTTGACTACTGAGGGGTTTTTCACGTTAACCTTAGAGGTACACTTAACGCATTTGTAAAGAAGGCATAAAATTATGAGATTTCTACATGCATGTACCATATGTAAGGTGGTGTGATAGGAAGTGTTGGGGGACCTCATTTTTATAAAATGTTTAGTATTTCAGAAACTGAGGATCTCCTGGGATTTTCACACACGACAGTCTCTACACAGAATAGTGTGAAAAACAAAACAAAACAAAAATCCAGTGAGTGTCAGTTCCACAGGTGGAAACACCTTTTTAATGAGAGAAACCAGAGGAGAATGACCAGACTGGTTCAAGCTGACCAGAAGTCTACAGTAACTCAAATAACCACTCTTTAGAATCAAGGTGAGCAGAAAAGCATCTCAGAAAACAAAACATGTCAAATTCTTGAGGTCGATGGGCTACAACAGCTGAAGACCACATTGGGTTCCAATCCTGTCAGCCAAGAACAAGAATCTGAGGCTACAGTGGGCACAGGATCACTGAAACTGGAAACTTGAAGATTGCAAAAACATGCCTGGTCTTTTTCCAATCTTCAGTTGTCCAGTTTCGGTGAGCCTCTGTGTGATGTTCTGTGAGAGATAGGACTACATATGTGTCCTACATTTCTTCCAGTGGTTCAAGGAAAAACTTTAGATCCACCACAACCCTGAACTGTATAAACGATAACAGATAAGAATACGTTGTTTTTATATTTTGCCCTTCACAAGACAAAGGCCGTCTTACAGTAAGTTGTAGTGCACATATGGCATGAAAAAAGACATTGAAACACAATACACACACAAAAAAACCGTCATAAAGCAGAGGATAAAAGAGTGAATAAAGAGAAAGAGGCCAGTGATAGGAGATAGAGATGGAACAGGAAGAAAAGATGAGTTTTTAAGTTGGGATTTAAAGGACATAATATAGGAGATGTAAAAAAAAAAAGAGTCTAGGAGAGGGGATTACACAGTTTGGGAGGCAGTGCCGGAAGGACTCATTTAAACAATTAGACAGGAAGAAAGTTGACCATTTTCATAAGTATATTACATACTCTAGAGAAAAAAAAAGGCAAATAACTAGGGAGCCTAACTATACATGCACTATATAGTTGTAAATACTTTACAGTATATTGAACAGGAGTATTCATTTAACATTATATGACAGATCTATTGAATTCTCAAACCTGATTGGACAGTTGTTGATTAATTTTTCTACAACAACAGTTCCATCACAGGTTTATATTAATGCTTTCATTTTAATGTTATTGTTTCTATAATAATAGCTTACACAGGGACTTGTATGGCCGAAGCTCCACATGAATAGATTTGAAAAATGTGTTGATATAGTGAAGTTTTCTGTGCCGAGACGTTTATTTAGCATTTAAGGAACGAGTCTCCAGTGTTTTCTGATATGGGAAAATCAGTAGCTCAGTAATATGAGAAGCTGCATTTTCTTTTGTAGTGCTAATGTAAAGAGAAAGAAGAAAGAGAGGCTGGTGAGGATATGACTGATATTATACTGATATTAT